AAGCATCAGGGCAAGGGTGTCAGCTAGCTTGTCCACCGCTCCCTTTCCTTTATCAGCCGTCACAGTGGCAACCACAAAGTCCGAGAAATCTTCAGCGTATTGGTCAAGTGTGTTGTACACTGCATGAATGTCCATTTCATCAAGGTCTTTCGTGTGCCTTATCTGTGAGCTCAGCTTCTTCCAGTCAGCTCCAAGAGAAGATAGAAATCTCACATTCAATTCCATGTTGGACTTATGCACGCCAATCTTTCTCATCTCATTTATCAGTTGTAGGAATCTCAGGTAGGTGTCTTCAAGTGATTCTCCAAGCTTGGCTTTGAATGAGTCATATGCAGTGAATGTGCTTGCCTTCTTCGCCTTTACTCCGATCTCAGTGCCTTGCATGATCTTAAAGATCTCATCCCACATCTCTTTTGCAGTTGACATGCTGTCAATCTGCATGTAGATGTCGTTCGGGATGGCTTGCAACAGATAGGTCTTGGCAATGAGATCTGCCCGGAGTCTTGCTCTGTCCTCATCATCATATTCATCTACCGTCTTGGGTCTCCACTCAATCTCAACAGGTGGGTTGTTCCCGTTGTCTCTCTCAACAGCTATCATCAATTGAGCAGGTCCATTTGTGATAGAGTCAAGAAGACCTGAGGATTGGTCCTTGCTCTCAAGAAAGTTCAGGAATCTGTTCTTCCATACGTTGTACTCACCCCTTCGCAGGATTGGGGGTCTTGTATCATTTCCAATTGATAATGCGTCCATTTTGAAATTGATCGGGCTGATCAGTTGATTGATTTGATCTTGTCTTGTTGTTTTCAGTACTTTGGGCAGAAGGTTCTTGTTCAGAAAAATTGTAAGTGTGAGATTGCCCAATTGTTGGAAGATTACTCAACTTCACAAAGGATCGCTCAACTCTCAAACAATCTCTCAACTTTACAAAAAGATTGCTCAACACTTAGAAAATCGCTCAAGTTTACAAAAGATCGCTCAACTAAAAATAAAAGATCTCTCAACCTGTAAAAAGATCGCTCAACAAGAGGAATATCGCTCAAGTCCAAGATAGCGCAAGTATATGTTGCGCGGAATCTCAAATCGCGCAGAAGTTGATGTTGCCTTATTTTGAAATCGCTCAACCTGTAAAATAGCTCAACTCTTCAAATCGGGCAAGTCCAAAAATCGTTCAAGTGAGTTAGCGCAAAGTTGGAAATCGCGCAGGAGATGTTTCAAGATGGCGCAAGAGGTGTTGCGCGAACCTCGAAATCGCGCAGGAGTGGAGTTGCGTGTTCCTGTCCTTCTCTTCAAGCAAGTTGCGCGAAACAGCAGAATCGCTCAACTTCAGCTTCACCTGTACGTCAAATTTCAGATCGAGATTTTCTCTAGGAATGATCCTAGCAACAGTAGAAACCTTTTCCTTCAGCCATTTTCCTGTAAAAACAACAACAAAAATAGAACAGAAGATCGCTCAAGTGCGAAACTTCAACGATGAAGAATCGCACAGGAGTGATTTTCAGCCTTCAATCGATCGATCAGCTCCGGCTCTGATATCAGATGTTAGGTCCCTGTTTTCTAGTCTAGAATGTGTATGTATGGAAGATAGATCTATGATTTGAAGCTTTCCATTGATGTGAAGGTTTTACAGAATGATATGAATGTTTTAGCGTAAAAACCTTACACGAGAATAGGCACTGCGGCACAGAGAATGTTGAAAAGCTTAACCTAGCCTTTCCCTTAAGGCATATATATAGCCTGACGGGAAAGGTAGGTTTTACAATCATTTGGGCTCCTTTTTCTAGGAGGCCCATACCTAAAAAGGCATGAAAGCCTTTATTATAATTTGCCTTAAAAGGCCTATTCATTATTCTAGCTAGTCTATTCATTTATATAAGCTAAATACAAAGAGCTAAGAAACATTGATCACAATATAATGAAAATATCTCTAACACGTTTGAGATTAGTCAATCGGCAAGTGAGTTTGTTGGTTTGGGTGATTCCCTAATCTGAATTTTAGACTTACAGTTTGGGGCGGACGGCTGGATTCTAGGTTATTTATTGGGGGCAACCACTTTTTTTATTGGGGGCAAATATTTATTCCTTTGATATTTACTAGTAAATCATGAAGATTAATAGGCTTTTATTGGGGGCAGTTGCCCCCACAACATGCTTAGTAGATCCGCCCCTGTATATTAGTATAAAATCGTGATTAAAGTAAGTTTTGTGAATAGTGAAAAAATCACAATGTTGTAAGAATTAAAGAACGGAGAAGTATAATGGAAGGTCTAAGTTAAATCTGTTTTATTGCTTTTCTCAACTTTCTTTATTGTACACTAGTATAAAACCCGTGCATACGCACGGGAAATATCAGTTGATGCATATATTTTTACTCATGATCTAAATAAATATTAAAATAAAAATAACTTTTTATGATTCTACATTTTCCGAAAAATAATACTACAATAAGCTAATAGCATAAAGTATAAGCCATACAATAAATATTCAATGAAGAGTATTAGGAAAAATTAATTGACTACGCTCATTAGATTTTGCTAGCTATTAGTTTTCATGATTAAATTGATTTTATAATTAAATACTATTATAAAAAAGTGAGTACAATAAGTGAATGACATAAAATTTAAGTGAATACAATAAATATTAAAATAGACGATTATTAGTTAAATGAGAACTTAATCATTAGTTAAATTAGTGCTAACATATGAGAAATAAAATTATCTTACTCAATTGTTAGTCGACTTATTTTATACGTAAAAGAACTACGTATGAGAGAAAATTATCTCGCTCAATTGTTAATCTGATTATTTTATACCCAAAAGGACTACGCATGAGAGAGAATAAGTCTAAATGAACATGTTCTAAATACCTAAAACCACAACATATGAGAGAGAAAATTCTTCTGTTCAATTGTTATCGGGCTTATCTTATCTTATCTTATACCTAGAAACACTACATATCAGAAAGAATTATCCCGCTCAATTGTTAGCAAGTCTATCTTCTAATACATAAAAGCACTACATCTGAGAGAGAGAGAAATTTCTCCGCTCAATTGTTAGTCGGATTATCTTATACCTAACATCACTAAATATGAGAGAGAAGATTATTCTGCTCAATTGTTAGTCCGAATTATCTTATACTTAAAAATACTGTTTATGAGAGAGAAAGTTCTCCCCCTCAATTATCAGCAAGTTTATCTTCTAATACTTACGTGTCTCCGTCCCACTAATACTGAGACATGAGGACGTGATGTGGTTATTGGAAAAGTGTGCTTATGTAATTGTTATTGACTTGATAAAGTAAGAATGGGGTAAGTATTTATATTATCTCCAACATTGTGTAGTGACTCACCCAATAACAATTTTATTTCCTGATAAGAATTGTTTTTTCCAGGAAGGCAATGCATCGAATTTATATGCGACCTTTTTTAGCAAGTTAGACATTATTTCCTATTGAGAAATTTTACATTTTTATGTAAAATCAGATTCATTTGAGATATTATGTAGAATTAAATAGGATAATATTGCATTTGTATTACCCTATTGTTTTCTAAAAAATGTTAATTCCATTATCTAACAATTACCCTATTGTTTTCTAAAAAATGTTAATTCCACTATCTAACAACTTAGTATAGACCCATGCATACACACGGGAAAGAATAATCCGTGCATATATATGTGGTCACGATATGATTATATACAAAAATAAAATAATTTTTGTAAATATTACATTGTTTTAAAAGGAGATCAGAGTACAAAACACCTATCAATGAACACAAAATAATAATAAATTTTTTATTCATAAATAAATAATAAATATCATAATATGAGTGCATATATTTGAAGTGTGCATCATTAAGTTATAAGATGATATAATTGATTTGATTAATAGAATTAGTGCTAACAATGAAATGGTTCACAAATAACCATATTATGTTCTGAGATTGCAATGAATTGCATGTAATGTGGAATACATCATTTGTTTAGCAACTCTGACATTATATTTAACATTGTCAAAATATTATAATTGTATTGATATTATGACATTTTTTAACATCATGATATTATTTTATAATGGTGACACTTTCTATAAAATGTTACATTTTATGATTTTATCTAACATTCATACTTTTTTAACCGGTAATACTATTACCGGTAATACTTCAATAGTGCTATGATTAACCGGTAATACTATTACTGGTAATAATATTATTTCTAGGATGGAATTTATATACAAATTTAATTTGCTCATTTTCACTAATACCTGACATTTTTTGACATCGTGGACATCATATGAATACTAATACTAAAATACTTTTTTAACATTTTCATTTTATCATATTTCTAATTGCTTAAAACATTATTGAAATTTCAAAATAATAACCAAATGCAAAGATGTGTACACTTAGCTTTTAAGTTGTTCTTGTAGATTTTAAGTTGCAAAGATGTGTACACTTTTAACTCAATTACTTCTTGCAAAGAGATTTATCCATTTAACCCAATAAACTATAAGTATCTAGTGACCTAACTATGGAATTGATTAGAGACGTCCATTGCAATAAAAGAGTGAGAAAAAGCTAATAATGACATTTTAGTGTTGGGACATTTTCAAATAATATTTTTGAAAGGAAAGCGTCTAATTATATTAATTTAAAACATCGTTTGTCAGCTTCCAAAAAATAAAATCTAGTCTAGTCTAGAACTATAAAATTGGATCCCATCCGCGTTAGCATGTGAGCTACTTCTTGGCTCACATTGACTTCAATACCTATTTGATTATGCCTTACAATGATATTTATCCATTCATTCAAAAAAATGTGGATATCTAGTATGATACCATGCATCGCACAGGTCAATAATACATTATTTATTATTATCCAAGTTTTCTATAATGACAAATAGAAAAACAATCTTTTGAAAACTCAAAACAATAGACGAACACTTTAGAGTTGTTGAAATGCAACACACTTTTGAAAGACAACACATATATATGCAACACAAAAGGACGAACGATCTTTAACAGGCCAATTCAACGCAATTATAGAAATAATTATTTGAAGGAAAAAGGGTCAAATAGACTCATCTACTATTGTAAATCCATCATCTGAACCCATCTACTAAAAAAAGTACCATATAAACCTATCTACTCCAAAAAAACGATCAAATGACCCAATTTACCTTAAGTTCACCTTCTTTAGCCGGTCAATTACTATTTTTGATATTTTACATTCACTTTTTCCTTTTTTCATTTATGTTTTCAAAATCTTTTTGCTTTGCCTATCTTCTTCGTCCAGCTCCCTCCCACAGACTAAATGTCTTCAGTTCGTTGGTGTGAGGAGCTCCAAAGCTCTGAAGGCCCAAAGCTATTACTCAACTTCAATCTAGAATCGAAGACGTGAGAGCAGTCCAACGACGCCATCCTTCAGATTCGTCCACATGGGAGCGGTGGCTTCTCTTCTCTTCTCGTTGTGGTGCAGGACCGCCGTGTGTGCAGGGCCGCCAAAGAATGGAGGAAGAAGATCTCTGCTCTCCATCGGAATCACTCTGTACCTTCACGCAGAGATTATTGATCGGACTCCATTCACCTTCATCACTCTGCCACGCCCCATTAATAGGTTGTTGACCTTCAGTCTCCATGTTTCTGTCCTAAACAAAATCAGTGAGGAAGACTACCGATTGGGCGATAATATCAATTTTTTTAAATAAAACAATTAATTAAAGTGTTAAGTTTTGGGGGACAAATACACGGAAACACCCATATAATAGTCTCAATCTTTGCTTCGTATAAAATTGCAGTGGGAAGAAGATAATAGGGATGTGAATGGCTAAAGCACAACAGAGAAAGATAAAATAAAAAAGAAAATTTAAAGAAAATATTTAATTCGTATAATTAGCAAGGAACCGGCTAAAGAAGGTGAACTTCAGGTAAATTGGGCCATTTGATCGTTTTGTTAGAGTAGATAGATTTATATGATGCTTTTTTTAGTAGATGGGTTTAGATGATGGATGTACAATAGTAGATGGGTCTATTTGACCCTTTTTCCTTATTTGAATAGTGATTCAAAATTTCACATTCAAATTATATTGTATCGTGACTAAGATCAATGTCATTTGACAAATATCATTTTCATTTGTACAATTCAGATCTATACCTATAGAGATTGATTCTCCTGAGTTTCTTTTCCATGTCAAAGTGATTGCTAACTCGAGAGCAACAGATGTGATGTTATATCATAATCTGCAATGAGTAATATATAAAACTATTATTCATACTAATATTTTCTTTCATCTATGAAATAATACTAATAGGAGCATTAGACTTAAAAGGAGATTATGGCATCCATATTAAGATAGAATAAATTTCATTTTCTTAAATTTAACATAGAATTCATCCAAAAGTAAAAAGAAAAAAATTCCAAGTGAGGTATAGAAGGTTGTTCAGCCAACATTTCAATGAAATCCTACCGTAAATAGAATAAAAGTAGATCAGGTATAATAAGATTGAGATCAACAATCTGGGGTGGGGGGGGGGGGGGGGGGGGGGGTGGAATTGGAGTGTAAATCATTCAAGTGAAAGTACACTAGATATGAAGACACTGATTGGAAATTTTCCTAAAAAACAATTTCAAAGAACATGATTTGTATTTCCAAGAGATTTGATCGGTTTTGAGGGTTGCTATAAATCTTTAGTACCTATGTGATTTGTGAGATATGACATGGAAAAGGCTATGAGATAGGTAAGTTACATGAATAGTGGGAAAATGGAAAACCTTTGGCCATGTTTTTTAATATTTACCCGCAGTTTCACAAAGATCATATAGTGTAAACATAAGCAAGGGAAAAGTGTATTAGAATTGCAATCCTGCTTTCCTCCTGAAAAAGTGGCTTCTAGTTGTTTCAAACTTAATTCTATTTACTACCTAAGACAACAATATGCTAAAAAAAGAAAAATAAAAAGAACTGGAAAGGCAATGCTCTTAAACGGGAGTTTCATGGCAGCCACATTAGCACTATTTATTTTTCAATCAGAAATTAGCTCTTTTCTTAAGAAAGAACATTCGATGAAGAGAAGAGGCAATGACTCTAAACTTACATGAAAGGTGAAGCAAGGTACGTTTGTTTAATAAAATAGTACCATTTAACTCAAAAATCTGCACATAAATATTAAAAGAATTGTTATGAAACGGTTCATCCAAAACACAAAAGCATTAGGCTTAAAAATGAGCATTGGCGTAGCCACAATGATGCTGTGTATTACAAAGAAGGATCATCTAAGCATTTCTTCAAACATGATATATGCAAAATATAAGACACAAAATTCAAATCGCAAATAATGTTGTGATGTTACCATAATAGAGGAAATTAAAGTTAGAATGGTAAATGTAATAAGTAAAGAATACGCTGAAGTGTAAATAAAGCAGCCTCTTTTCATCATCGAATTATAAAACTAATCAACTGAAAACCTTTTTTGACGATTACAGAAACGGATCTTTGCTTGATTGCTTCCAAGGGCTTTGATAGAACTTGGAGGCTCTCTTGGAATAATTCTTTGAGATAGGGATGTTACATAAGTAGGGTGAAATGAGGAGAAGTTCTAGGCTTGGGTAGATAATTAATCTGAGTGCGGTTCTTTAGAGTGAGGAAGAAAGTGTCATGATCGGAAGCAAATAAGTGTTCAGCAAGTGTGTAAAGAAATGTTTAATGCTATTAGTGGAGAAAAATTACAGAACAAAAAGAAAACAGAAGCAAAACGATGATTTTGAAAGAAGTCTAAATTTGGTAGAATTCGCCATTTACGATTGTATGAAGATGTCGCTTGGGGGAGATGTGAGAAAAGTTAGGCTGAAAAAAATGCTGGGAGTGCGGAGAAGATGGAAATCGGGCGTACAGTTCGTTGTTTTTGTTTGAAAGTGATGAGGGAAAAAAAAGCTTAAACATCATAGAGCCACGTGGCCTTAGAATAGCAAAGGAGAAAGTTTTGGATTGAACTACACGTATGATTTTTTAAGGTTAAAATAGTAATTGATTGAGCTATTTCTTTTCTTATACTCCCTCTGTCCCTAAAAGAAGTTCCATTTCGCTTATCGAGGGTCAACTTAAATCACTCTTAAACTCTTACTTTTTATATCAAAATTTTATAAAAGTTAAATTATTTTTTGCAGGCTTTGTAGCGGGTTTAATGTAGTTTCTGAATATGTAAATTTTATTTACTAAAAATAATCCGAGTTTTCACAGGGATCATTTAACTTTATAGTCGGTCAACCTTCGTAATCCGCAATTGGAACAACATTTAGGGACGGAGGGAGTATATAAATAGAATAGATGTGTGCACAATAAGCAAAGAAACATAAATAGTTTCCATTTCGAATCATTATCGATGAGTACTCGGTGTAATTCTATTCACGTTTTATAGCTCAATTTTGCTCTTTGTACACACTTTAATACACACCACTATACACACTATATATACCCTAAAAATTACCCCTTTCCCACTTTCTTTTACCCAACACCTCTCTCTCCCTCTTCTGCTCTTCACCCTTATTTCTTTTCTTTCTTTTGCGATCTATCTCAGTTTCTTCTTAATTTTCATCCCCTTCTCATGCTTCTTCTGTTGTTTCTTCTTGCACGAACACAAATGGTCAACCGTTTCAGCCACCAAACGCCTCCCTCACGTCCATTTTCCCTCACAGCCCTTACATCCATTCTCCTTGAGTTGAGTCCGAGTCCAACACCGTACCAGTGTCGTGGTTGCAGCAGGAATTTAGCAGACGCTCGACGAAGATGGGACAGTGGATGTGCGCCGTTCAAACAAGAAGCTCTGATCAACAACCCATAATATTGAGGTAATAATCTAATTCCATTTTTCTATGTGCATTTTAGGGTTATACAGAGTATTTATTTAAAATTTCTGATTTTTTGTATATTATGTATTGTTGAGCATTTTGTATTGTTCTAATAGAATGCAGTGTTAGTTATTGAATTTTAGTTCAAGTACTCTATTTCACATTTGTGCTCATAACGTGTTTGTTGAAATGTCTCAATGATTTTTTTGTTTAAATTCAAGACTTTGACAGTCCTTTTTTTTGCTAATTAGTTCAAGATTTTATTTTTCTTGTTTCCCAATTTAAATAACGATATAATTATTATTATTGACTATATTATTTGATTGGTATACTTTTTCTATTTTAAGTAAATTATATATGTTATCATGTTGAATTCTTGACTATTTTCTTTCATTGATATAGGTGTGCGAGGTTAATTATTGAAATTGTATATGTTTGTGATATGATTCAATGAATTTCTTGTTCCTATTTAAGATTTTGCAAAAGGGGGCTTTAGTAAATTGCTTTTTTATATATTCATTGTACCCATTTGATGTTTTTTTAATGTGAAGAACCTTTTTACCATACTTTGGCGAATTATATTTAGTTATAGCAATTATATGGCGTACACAATTTTTTTTACCTGTAGAAATGAACGTTTCGGTCCTAGAAGACAGTCTTACATAATTAGTAAATCTTTCTTTATGTTTTTAAGTGTTTTAAGCTTGTTTATATGAATTATTTTGTGAACTCTATGTTTTGGTTTACTAGTTTTGCTTGAAGCATTTGTTTGCTGCTCATTTATACTCTCTGTTTAAAGAGCATTATATTTACATTTTTTTCTTGGGATAAGAAGCATTTTCTTTGTGATTCAGGTGATCATACATTGTTTAATTTTCTTGTCAAGTGAATAAGTCATCAATTAAGTTAAATATTGATTTTGAAGTACTGATGATGCATCAACATATTGAATTTGTGGCAGAATCATTCCTTAACAGTGAAGTAAAGTAATGCAGCAGTACCTCGATCTAAAGTTTTGTGGGTAAAGATTAATTAATTACTTGGCAACAAGAACAGTTGCCCAACCACGATCATCGTGCAGCACCCCACTCTACAACCTTTGTTTAGTATGTCGTTTTTTCAGGATTGAGCATTTATGGCATTGTTTATGGATGTGTCGACTTGTGTACTGCAAAAATGGGAGGTTCAAAGCCCACGATAATCAAATTGTGCCCTAGGATAACAAAAGCTTCAAGTCCGAGTCCAACACGAATGGCATGGTGCAAACATTATAGACATTCCATTTCTATGAGAATCACGAACATGTATTATTTGGGCACAAATCACTAATTAATTATGGTAATAGTCACTTTGTAAAGTATAAGATAATAATATTTAAGTCTTGTAATAGTCACTTTGTAAAGTAACGGTCTTGTATTCAGTATGTTGCCTTATTAATGAATTTGTATTGAGTATTTTTATCTGAAACGTCCATACGACAATATGCGTGCGTGTGATTAAAGCATTGCCATTGTGCTCTTTTATTTTGTTCGTAGAGAATAATTGTCCGTGTCTTTGTTTATATTGTTTATGTGTGTTTAAAATGTTGTCCGTGTGCACGTTTATTTTTGTATATGTAGAAAATAGTTGTCTGTGTGTTCATCTATATTGTCTGTGCATGGTTAAATTATTGTCTGTATGTTCACTTATTTTGTTTGTACGTAAAATATACTACGTAATATAATTGTCTATGTGTTTATTTATATTGTTTTTATATGGTCAATACATTCTCAGTGTGTTCGTTTATTTTGTTTGTGAGTAAACAATAATTGTAATTTGTAAATTTTAGATTCTGTAATTTGTTTACAAACCATAATTGTTTGTAAATTTTCAATGTTTGTATGTAGCATATATAACATGCGGAGTATGTAACTATGTATAGGTATAGACAATATAACATATAGCACACATACAAGACTTCAACCATATATTGGCACATGGATTAATAGAGAGTAGTGTATACGAATAAATGCATTAGGAGTATTCCACTTTCATTTCGACTTTAATTAGACATGTATTGTTTGTGTTTTCAAAGTGTATCTTTTTTGTATTCAGAAAATGTATTTGGATTTTGTCGAAGGAATTGAAATTATGGTATTAATACATTACTTAAGCTGATTGGAAAACTAAAATGTTATCTATACTCATTTTGGTGACTTGTTGTAGGTAATTTGTCTGCGCTCAAACAAAATAAATGAACACAGACGATTATTGGTTATGCACAGACAAAATAAATGAATAAACAACCAATAATTTAATCATTCACAGACAATATAAGTGAAGACATAGACGATGCTCTGACTACGCACAGACAAAATACTTGTACACGTAGAATAAATGAAAATACACACAATTGTTCAACCACACAAAGAAATTATAAAGGAAGATTGGACATTTGTTCAACCACACAAACAAAATAAAATATATAAAATTTACCATAAAACTCAATTCAAGTTTACGACAATTGGACAAATGCAAGGAACGAAAGGAGAATTTTGGGGGACGAGCTTGCGTGAGATTTGATTTAGTAATGCTCAGACCAGTTTGTAGTACACCCAACTCTAGGAATGCTAGTAGTCTCTTTCTTGGGCTCTGAGTTCACTTTGAAGGTGCCACCATACATCTCGGCCGATCTGTCCACCAGCGGCACAACTTTCAACTCATTTAGGAGTGCACATTGCTCCTTGAACCTCCAGAAGAAGTGAAAAGCATCCTGAATATGAAAACATTAAATCACATATTAGTATTCTATTCTATTCTATATCCAAAGACCACAATTAGGCTTCAAGAGTTCATAGTTACTGGCAAAGTATAGAAGTGCAATAGTATATTAATGACGGTCACTCATTAAACACGATTGAGCGTCAATTTCATAATGACATTTGGTTCAATCACGGTCCTCCTCATCACTGAAAAATATATCCATTTATAAACCAAAAAATCAACCCCACGAAGTAATTCATATGAACCATCTTAAAACACTTAAAAACATAAAGAAAGGCTCACTAAACAAATTAAAGTCTAAACAAACCTTTATTACCTAAAAATATAGGACTGACTTGTAGGACTTAAACATTCATTTCTATAGATTGAAAAAAAATTGACTCACTATACTACACGTAATATAATTGTTAGAACTAAATATAATTCACCAAAGTATGCTAAAAATGTTCTTCGTGCAAAAAAACATCAAATGGGTACAACGAATATAAAAAAAGAAATTTATTAATGACCCCTTTCACATAATCTTAAATATGAACAAGAAATTCATTGAATCATTTCAACAAACATATAATGGGCACAAAAATAAAATACAATAGTTTTGACCAAAATTTCAATAATTAACCTCACAAACCTATATCAATGAAAGAAAATAGTCCACAATTCATCATGATAACATATACGGAGTATAATTTACTTATAATAGCAAAAGCATACTAATCAAATAAAATAGTCAACAAAAATGATATATCACTTTAAATCGGGAAACAAGAAAATTAGAATATTCAACTAATTAGAAAAAAAAGGAGAGTAAAAGCCTTAAATTTAAACAAAAAAAACCATTGAATCATTTCAACAAACATGTTATGAGCATGAATGTGGAATATAGTAATTGAACTAAAACTTCAATAACTAACACCATATTCTCTTACAATAATACAAAATGCTCAACTATTACACCTTATACAATACATGATATACAAAAACTGGAAATCTTAAAGAAATATAACCCTAAAATGCACATAGAAAATCGAAGCTTCCTGTTTGAGTTGCGAAAATCCACTGTCCCATCCTCGTCGATTTTGTACAGGATTCCAGTTGCAAGCATGCCACGGGTGTTGGATTCAGACTTAAGGAGAATGGATTTAAGGGTTGCAAGGGAAAACGGATGTAAGCTAGGGAGGCGTTGGGGGCTGAAATGACCGACCCTTTTTGTTGGTGCAAGAAGAAACAAAAGAAGAAGCATGAGAAGAAGGGGAATGGAAATTAAGAAAAAACAACGGAGATAGATCGCAGAAGAAGGAAAAGAAGTGAGGGTGAAGAGGGAGAGAGAAGGGTTGGGTAAAAGAAAGTGGGAAAGGGTAATTTTTTTTAGGGTATATATAGTGTGTATAGTGATGTGTATTAAAGTGTGTACAAAGAGCAAAACTCTGGCCCAAGAAGAGCTAACCGGAATTTATGGTACGTACACTGATGGGAGTGATGGAAATATATACGGAGTAGTCAAATAGATCTATCTCAAATTTAGGGTCACCACATATGTAAAAATCAACCCCAATTTGAGCCTATGTGGCCAGCATAGTCACTGTGAATCAAGGATTCAATTCGCTAATATAACCTCACCGAGGGAAGCAGTGAGAAAGAGCCCGATGGATTCCTAGATGTGAGAAACAATAAAAGCAAATTAAAGCCAATAAATCGATTTAGGACCCTCAGCTATACGATGAGGTGGGATACTCTTCCTACCTCATGATTACTAGAAATCACTTCAAGAAACTCATAGATGAAACCAACTACTTCTTATATCCGGTATAAGCGAGATTCAACTCACCACACAAATTAGATGCGACTCTTAAGAAATATAAAGCTACACATCTAGAGGCCAAAACTTATCAACCATATCTGTAGAATGCGATTAGGTTCCATAACAAATACTACAAGAATATATCAACTACACTTGGAATTCTAACTAGAAATTTCAATTACTAGTGTATAGTATCACTATCTTCTATGTATCTTTTCTTTCAACTCACGTATCTTTAAATTTCTTGTATCTTAAACTTTTATAAATAAATTTGTCAAGTGTTCCCGGTCACTTCAATGACAAAACTCACAAAGGGAAACCTGCTTTGATTCCGTGGGAGCCATTACCATATATCATCAATTGAAATAAGTCAAATAACCACCAAAACAAACCCAATTTAAGCCGGAGCCAAAATGGTGAAAAAATGACATTTCCGATATATGAGAGTAGCAGATGCGACGCACAAAACTTACGTGAAAGTATACTTCAATCAACGCATATAGATTTAAGAACGACTAATCTATGATTGTTATAAGGATTGTGCAAAAAATGTGATCCGTAATAAACTTCTAGATTTGATAGTAACATGATCAGGTTTAAAAAAAAAATAGGCCTTTCAATTTTATTATTTACAACAAGAGTTTTTTCATCGATATTAAAAAAGAAAAAATTATGGATATGGGGTATACATACTAAATTTCTTAGATCAAAACTGACTATATAATATTAAAATACATACTCCCTCTGTCCCATAAAACTTGATCAAATTTTCTTTTTTGTCGTCCATAAATACTTTGATATTTTCATTTAAAGTAACCAATATGTGGCTAAAGTTATTTCTCTCTCCTATGCACAAATTTGAACCACACAATATTTACTTTATTAATCTACGTGCAAGTCAACTTTGATCAAGTTTTGTGAGATGTAAGGAGTACATATCCATTCAGACCTTATCGACGAGAATACAAAAATTCAGTTCAAGTGAAAGCGTGTCATGAGTAATTTTATGAAAATCGAAAAGAAATGATTGCAAGACCCCGCTCCGTTCGCGGTTCTGCAAGTATTGTTAGCATCTTTTAAACAATATGACTCTCGGCAACGAATCTCGCATCGATGAAGAACGTAGCGAAATGCGATGTTTTCTTTTGCAATGAAATTTGCTAGTCTGGTCTGATATGGTCTGATCTGGTTTGGTCTGGTTTATTTAACTGGTCCAGTCTGAACTAACCTGGTCTGATCTGGTAAATATCTGGTCTCTTTGTATATACTATCTATTTCATAACTATCCAAATCTAATTTGGTCTTGTCCGATTTATTTATGTCTGGTCTGATCCGGTTTGAGAGTAAAAACAATCTAAAAGAAAACATGCCTAGTAGTAAACACTACAAAAAACATGGGATTGACAAGGATTTTGGCAGGAATTTTGGCATGATATGCCAAATACGTGCCAAAAACACGTTGGCATGAGCTATTTGGCATGAAAAATCGGTAAATCCGTGTCAAATTCTGTCTCAATCCCGTATTGGCAGGGACATACGGAGTACCAGAAAAATACAATAAGATTAAACATAACAAAAACAGAAATACTTTAAATAGTAAAACACTTGAAACAAACATATACTCCATATATTACAAGTTCAATAACTTTTGATATACGGACGGTGTATCAAATTCAGGAGTGATTTAATAAGAGATAAAGTGAAAACAGGAAATCTGTAGGGGTACGTTTGAGAGTTTGGAGGGATAGAGGGGAAATACTTTGAAGTAATTCCTGAGGAAACCTTTTTTGTATTTAAATGAATTTAAATTAAAATCACTTTGAGATCAAAAAATTCAAATAATTAAATTGATATTCATTCTAAATCGAGTTTAAATTATCATTTTGTTAATTATCTTTCAAAACGCTGCAAATTTGGAGATCTAAAAATAGAGCATTTAAAGGTTTTGGAGTTTGGAGGATTACAAAAGCTCTCCAAAACCACTCTCTCCACTTTTTTAAAGTCTGAATATGGAAAGGAAATCATAATAAGCTCTCATTAACCTTTTCCTCTACTCCAAAACTTAACTCCCAAACATGCCATAAAGAAAGCAACAGATGTGGAGAGGTGTACAAAATGTATAAAATATTAATTAAAAATGGATAAATAGTTTATATATTGCTCGAATTTTTTTTAAACACACGCCTAAAAAAGTACACGAACTTTCGTAGTTGGCTAAGCATCAGAAATGTTTTGAATGTTCTCAGTCTCTCTGAATTTAACTAGTTTATTAGAATTATTAGCTTCTTATATTTGTGATTATTAATTTATTACTCCTTCTGTAACAAAAAAACTTCTCATTTCAAAATCTTCTCATCATATCCTCAATAATTCTAAAAATAATTCATATCATCTTTCATTATTTTTAATCTACCTACTTTTAAAATGGGAAGATTTTTAAGTTACTGAGGAAGTATCATACGGTAGTATTATCATTTTGATAATTCAAAGTACTAGTTTATGTTTAATACTTTCTTCATATTTAAAAGTTTGCTACACCTTTTTTTTGATATATTTTAAAGTTTATTACATTTTCCTTTGTTAGTAATTTTTTTAAGATACTCAATTATTCCAACTTTTTTTACCTTTTATCTTTTCTTTCGTACTTATTTTCTTTTCTTTCATATTTCCAAATAACGCGAAAATATTAAATTTTAAATAAACAAGTATTAATAAAAATAGCACTCATTTCAATGAAAGAAATGAGGAAAATGAGTGTGAGATGAGCCTGAGCGTTTGACTGAAGACTCGCACCATTGGGTGGGAACCACTCTCCTTTGTAGCCCGGGACATCCGGGCGCATCGAAAGAGCTAAGGCTACATGGGTCCCACAATCTCACTCACCCACCATGGCTGCCCCACCCTGCTTAAATGACTATACGCAATCCATCAGATCACAATTACAGTACCACAAGCCACGATCGATGGATAGATCGTAGATGTTGACCCATCGCCGGACGCCGGGTTAACCTTCAACCGGAATTAAAATCATCGGCTTTTTGAACGGAATTGAAATTACTTGGTACTTGCGATTTGCAATCGGATGTTTACGAGTCCGATTTGGTTCTCTCAAAATTTAAAATTTGAATCGGATAAGAAGGTTGAGTTTGAGACCGGATTCGAGTGAGGTTTTGGTTTAGCATAAAATGAATTTTTATTCCTTTCCTTACAAGAAAAATGCTTAGTATACACAAAATGCGTACACATTTTGTGTGCTCCTAGCAATACTCTTCGTTAGATACTCATAATTCATTATAGGTCTCCTACTAGGACATGAAACAGCTAAAATGGATCCTCTTCTACAAGGAGGATTTCAGATGTTAATTTGTTAGTCCAGTCTGAGTTTGGTCAGATTTGATCTGTTCAAATTTGGTCTGTTCTGGTATGAAATGGTTTGATATGATTTGGTAAACGTATGGTCTCGATGTATTTTATAACTACAGAAGTCAAGTTTGGTCTGGTCTGATATGTTTAAGTCTGGTCTAGTCTGGTCTGGTTTGAGCAGTGTAAAAACATCCTAAGTGCCTAATCCAGTGAACGTAGTTTTCATAGATCCAGTTGTTATAAGGGACCTCACTGTCAGCACAGGCGGAACCCGAACAATATTTGGGGGTGGCTAAGACATACATCAAAACTCAAAATTTTAATTGTAATAGAAGTCAATCAATAATATTATCCTCCTGTCTCAAATTATTTTGCAAAATCAGTAATTTTTTATCATCAACCAATAATAAAAGTCAATCTTTTGTATCAGTAATTAACTCAATTTTTACTTATTAAAATTTAAATATTCAGAAACAACATAAAAATCTCTTCAAAGTAGCAAACTCCGACTTAGAATATGGGGGTGTTTGGATCTGATTCTCAAAACTGATTCTGCTCCTTCAGAGAGCAGAGACAGAAGTTGGAGTGTTTGAGTGAAATTCCAGAAGCACTTCTGGAGCTCTAATTTACTCTCAGAATCAGTTTTTTTAGAAGCTGGGGAGTACCAGCTTCTGAAAACTGATTCTGATTCTGCTTCTGCTTTTAAAAAAGAAGCAGAAGCAGAATCAGTTCCAAACACCCCCTATAATTGACATTCAAATTAAGCAAATAAAATGAAATTGTTTGATCAAGAAAAGTCAAAATTGCAAATCAATTTGGAATTGAGGTAACAATTATTAGGAGAAAAAACAAGTTTAGACAATTGTGCCATGCATGTTTTATGTTTGCATGTTTTCAAAACATTGCAAAATTGCTGTGTTTTCAATTTAGCAAAAAATAATCGTCTCTATTTAAATCAACAAACTACGGAGTATCATTTATTCATGAGATAAAAGTCTAAACTAAACTAATCCTTAAATGCATATACTATGTTATTTATCTCCCCAAGATAGGACTAAAGTATACCATATCTACCTATTATACCTTTACCATAACTTAATATAGGATAATCATATTTTATTTGTAATAAACACAAAAAAACAATAAAAATAATTTAATTTATACAAAAATTATAAATTATAAATTACAATAAAAAACTATAAAAAATTATAAATTACAAATTATGAATTTTTTTTTTATAAAATACTAAAATTCTAAAAGTTAAAAAATAGATAAACACCTTAAAAAATACGTAGTATAAAAAAAATGGGGGTCTCTCCCACGGCTATTGCCCCAGCCAAGTTACATCTATTTGGCTAAAAAAATGTCATTTTGTGTGAAAATTGTCACCCCCCCCCCCCCGAAAATGCCATAATGGTGACATTTTTACTCTTTGAAAATGCCAAAATTTTCTCGAAAACTGCCATCAAGATGATGTTTTGGACAAATTTTTTTCCGGTGACCGGAGCTAGAGGTGTTGGGAGGTTGCAGAGGTGGCAGCACAGACATACATTTTTTTTAAAAAAAATTATTTTTTTTATTTTTTTATTTAAAAAATTATTTCGTGTTTTTATACATTTTTATTATAAATAAAATTATGTTATTACTTTTATATGTTAATTATTAATGAAATATGAAATGTATTAAAACAAAGAAAGAGTATAATTGGAAAGCTAGTCCTATTTAGGGACTTTTTAAGTTATAGTCCTATTTTGGCAATTAAAGTTTTAATCAATATGTTAAATTTTGCTCACCCCTAGGATTTATCAATAGTTTTAATTTATTTTTATAATATAACCTGCTCTAGCATGTCGAGAAAACTTGATTGGTTGTATTTAAAAACTAATAACGTATTTACTTCGCTGCTAAAGTCGCAGTTAAGTTGGTAAGACATGTGAAGTAAGCATGAACGCTGCTTACAAAACTGCTTACTAACTGAAACATGTGCTTAAAGTATCGCTTACTAAGCATATCACCCTTCACATGTATTAATTAAGCGACACTTTGAGTTATTCAGTTTCCAAATTTACCCTTAATTACTCATTGCCCTAACCCTATCGTTACATCGTCCACCCCTACCCCACTACCCGACCCCATCCTGAACCCCGAACCCATCCTACCCACTACCTCCATCTTTGTACCTTGCCCCTTATCCCTACCTACCCTACCCTGGACCATTACCCCACCACACACCGCGTACCCCATTTCCCCTACAACAACCCTACCCCATTCCCTACCACATGCCTTTACCTTGTCCCCACCCGATCCCGGCCCCACCCTACCGCCATCCTACCCTATCCCACCCTTGACCATATACCACACCCCCACACGCCACCAGCCCCATAACTTATGTACCCCGACCCCTACTGCTTTATCCCCTACCATGCCACCTACCTCGACCCCACCCTACCCCATTACACCCACCCCCTGGCCCTTAACCACCCTACCCTCGACCATAACCCCAGCCCACCCATACTCTCTTACCCTACCTCGACCCTGCCCCGACCTCACCCCTGCTAATAGGGTGGTTGTTAGCGGTATGGGTGGGTATGAAGGGTTCTATGGGAGTACATATAAAGGGTAAAGTCTTGGTAAGGGTAGAGGTAGGGGTCAAGCGTGTAGAATCGGGGTAGGGTAGGGTGGGGCTACTGGGTATAGGGTGGGGTAGGGGTTAAGGGTGTACCTTACAAGGAGACCCACATATTATAGTATATACTCCGTACTTGTGTTTATGAATGTTGTGTGTCTATATATGTATAAAGTTATTTTGGATATTTTAATGTTAAACGGTGTTTCAAACCCCTTTAAAGTAAACATGATTTTACTAGGGGTGGGCACGGTCCGGAACGGTCCGGTAATTTAGCAAAACCCGTAATGTACCCGTGAGATTTCTAACGGTTCGGTATGGTCCGGTTCCAAGGTTGGAACCATTCGGTACCATGTTGTTTCGGAACGGTACGAAACGGTTCGGTACAATGCTAAACACATGCCGAAAACTTTGGACAAATCTTGCAATTAGTATATATAATCACACCGGTTAATTCACATGAAATGTTGATAAAAATACAAGAAAGTGCATACTAAATAGTAGAATAGATTCAAGAGGTTGACATTGTTGTATTTAAATTCACAAATACTCAAATAGTGCAACACAATTAAGTAAAAATATATCAAAACAATGATACACTAGTATAATATCATCCTTATTAAACTCATGTGAAAATATAAAAGGAATATCATTAAATTGTTAAAAATAATAGAAAAACTTAACATTCTTCTTCTTAGTTCTAAGTTGAATATTGGTTCTAGTTTAATTCATAGTTCAACCGTTAGAGTTAAGATTCAGACCATATACAAAACTTTACGATACAACAAAATGTCATATACTCTACATTACTATAAATTAATAGTCATTAATGATTTTTAAAACATTAGCATTCTTTCATTAAATATATACCAAATATAACATAAATTATTTAAAAGGAAAAACTAATAATATTCATATAACACACACATGTATCTATTTTAGGGATGCATGAATAAATACTAGGACTATAAACTTGTTGGTCTATAAAAGATATTTATTGGTATTGAAAGATATAAAAATCTCAAAGCCATAAATATTTTTGAACGGTTCGGTCCGGTATTTTTCGGTTCTCAAAATCCAGGACCGGTCCCATACCCGTTTGAAACGGTACGGTTTCGGTTCGGAATTAAATTCTATAGAACCTTTTAAATACCCGATATTCGGTTCGGTACCATTACGGTACCGGTTCGACTCGGTTTTTATGCCCACCCCTAGATTTTACAGCATTGCTTATTTTATGTGCCGTTTATTAACATGGGTCTTAATAAGCACCGTTTATCAGACCGTAAAGTAAACGTGTCCTAAGTGTTATTATATGATACAAAGTATATTTTTAAAAGAAGGGCTTGAGTGATGAATCAAGAATGATAAAAAAGTGATGAATTAAAAATTATAAAATTTCGATTTGACCCTTTTCTCTTAATACTCCATAATATTTAAGGGAAAGCTTAAAAATTTTTGTAAAGGAAAACCCAAACATATACGAGTAATTGTTATTTTGGAAGAAACATCTAAGAGTGATGTATAGCGATTAAAATTTATTTCATAAACGAAAAAAATAGTAATCTTATAGTCTTATGGCTAAAGGGTCAAATAGGCCCTTGAACCAACTTAAAGTATTCAATTAGTCCCTTATATAGGAGGTTCTGCCCGACTGTCGCCAATTGGGGCGATTTCCGGTGGAATTTTTTGATGATTTTTTTCGAGCATCTTCTTCATTAAGTCTAGTTTACTTATACCAAATTTCAGCTAAAAATTCAACCGAGAAGGCAGTCAAATGATTTTTTGAAGGTAACTGTGAAGTTAAACAGCGCAGTACATTTCGGAAAATCATTTGACTGCCTTCCCGGTTGAATTTTTAGCTGAAATTTGGTATGTGTAAACTAGACTTAATGAAGAAGATGCTCAAAAACTTTCATAAAAAAGTTCAACCGGGAACCGTATGATTGACGACGGCCGGACAGAACCTCCTATATAAGGGGCTAATTGAACACGTTAAGTCAATTCAAGGGTCTATTTGACCCTTTAGCCCAGTCTTATTTAGTACTCCACTACTCCGTAATTTTGAGGTGTATATTACTAAAATAATTATATATAGCTCGTTTGGTAATACGAAAATTGACGGATTTGTCTCATTGTGCTGGAATTTATGAAGTTCTGGCTACATTGGCTGATTCTGCTGATTTTAAGAAAATAAAATAAAATATATTTTGTTAATAAAATGAAGAAAAAATTATATGTAAAAATAGTTAAAATGATTAACCACATTAACTTCAGCCAATACAAATCGGAAAAGTAACTCTAACCTTATTTTTTCTGCTTATTACACAATTTCACCCGCGAAAGCAAAAATTATGTATTTAGTGAAAAAGTTTAGTGATAAGCTGAAAAAATCTCACAATTAGCATCGTAAATATAGAACCATGCTTGTTGTACCTACCACTTTGTACCCACCTTATACCCACTTCTGCGAAGGCTATTTTTTTGTCTGTGAAGCCGGTTCACAGACAAAATATGTCTTTGAATTCCTTCACAGACATATTTTGTCTGTAAAGGAATTCACACACAAAAGAAAATAACTTCACAAACATGGGTGAATATAAAAGTGGGTACAAATATCTTTTTGCATATATATACTCATGTGTAATCGGGTCTACGTAATTCGTCAAAAAAATTTCAATTTATTTATTAATGCTCTCAACTGCACAAAACGTTTTGTAGTTGAGCACCAATAACCGATCCCGGCGCGGCCAGCAACCGCCGATTACGTCCGACCAAAACTTCTTCCTTCTCATCACCGTTCAGGTTCCAGTCAATGAAAACAAGTACTTTGCTCATAAACTTACTCCAATGAATCAACATCAACTCAAGACCCAGAAAAACGACGATCAGACATAACTAATGGCGGTTCCCAATCTTCTTCTGTAAGTAGTTCTTACACAACCAGGCCGGTTCTTTAATTTTCCGGTAACATCGCCGGAAAGAAAAAAATGGAGAGCTTCAATCAGCTGGGAGAGGAAAGCGTGGTCGTGTCGGCGAGGCAAAGGGGCAACGGCCATAGCAACTTCATGTACGGCGGCGGCGGGTCGGTTCTCGGAAGTTACGGGAGACCCGCCGGAGCCGCGGAAAGCAACCACATATCCACCGGGTTTCATCTCCAGTCCGGCGGCGGCGGCGACTGCTATAGTCAATCGGAAGGGCATTCTCCTCAGGTAAAGAGCGAGGGAGAAAACGCTTCCCTTCACCACCACCACCAGATGTTTCAGTACCCTTTGATAGCCCGAGATCATGAGTATCATCAGCAGCAGCAGCAAGGGCCGGCGGCGGCCGGAAACTCTATCGGTGACGGAGATGCTTTGAAGGCTAAGATCGTGGCGCATCCCAACTATTCTAATCTCCTGGAAGCGTATATTGATTGTCAAAAGGTAGAATATTATGTTCATTTACCGATATTCTTATAGAAATGATTTGAGGGTATTTTTTTTATTGTTTACTTATATTGTTTTTTATGTGAATGATATGGTGGAATATGAAGGTCGGTGCTCCGCCGGAAGTGGTGGCGCGTCTGACTACGGTCCGGCAAGAGGCGGAGGGGAAGCAGCGAGCTTCGTTTGGTTCTATAGATTTCTCCAAGGACCCAGAACTCGACGAATTCATGGTGAGGGCTGCTTCAATATTTCTTTCACTCCCACTCATGGAAAAAATGTTTCAATTAATTAATTTTCGTACCTTACCTCGTAAATGTAATACTCCGTAAATCGGTATCATATTAAGAGCACGTTTAGAAGCCAAATCGATTGCCATGGTTATTCTGTTGAAATATTTTAATTTTTGGCGAAAAAGTGGTTGATTCGATTGATTTAGGAAAAAATAGTTACAATTTAGAAAATTTAGTTACAATTCCACTATAAGTCGAAAAACAGAATAATCAAACGAGCTCTGAATGTCTATCTGGCTTATCACTAGAATGAAATGGCTGCAAAAAAGTTGTACATTGAAGAATGAGATTGTTTGAAATTTATATTTGGATTACTTTAAGAAAGTTTCATGGTACAGGGAGCTTACTGTGAAATGCTGGTGAAGTGTGGGGAGGAGCTGGCGAGGCCTTTCCAAGAGGCAATGGAGTTCATGCGACGGATTGAATCGCAGCTTAACGTTTTATGCGACGGTCCGGTCAGGATTTTCAACTCCGGTAACCTCTCAATTTCTTTCTTAAATAATGACTCCCTTAAATTTTTTACAGAGTTCCTTGCTTAATGTTTGAAATATTTCACACAAAAAAGAAATATTTCACACAATGAACTAATTAATATAAAGAGACATCAATTTACTTCTCCTCGAATTCAATCCTTTGGTATTTTTGGTTTGGCGACTAATTTTTTTTGTCACGATGTGTGTATAAATGAGTTTGTAGATCAGATTATGGCCCTTTGACATATTTAGGAATTAGGCTCTCAACAAAAAATTCCAATCTCTCAGCTTTGAAGTCTTATAAACTTCCGTGTTTTTTACTCGTATATTTGTTTTGTCTGAATTTTGGACTATTAACTTAACTTATTTTTAACATATTTTCAAATTTCAAATCTATAAACGGATCGATACCACTCTTATTATAAAGTTTTGGGAGTTTTTCACCCTCTTCTTGACTACATTTATTAGTTCTTACTACTTATTGCTAGGCGTCACGTAATGTTATGTACTCCAGTCGTATAACATTATACGGAGTACCAAGTATGTCGTACGTTTTCAGGTAGAATGTAATTAGCTACGTGACATCCAACATTGCACGAAGTAATAATATCATAATGAAAGTCTTATTTGATTTAATAATCATCAAAACAAGCATTTTGGACTTTTGGTCGAAGAAGTAAAATATATTTTGAACAGAATCTTTTAATAATTCATCCGATTAAGTTGACCCAATTGGTTACTCAGAGTTCCTATTTTTAGACGGGTTCTTAAATTTGAACTATAATTTTCGATTATACTATGTAGAAACTTATAGGAGTATACGATATTTGAATTCCTTGCACTCATATCCTCTAATCTCTATTTATTCTCATCTTTTTTGTTTATCCATTTCGGTTTGTTTTCTCATGATACATTTGGCAATTTTGAAGTGCATAAATTTATTCATACCATGTTAAGTAACTTAAGTCGACCAGACGACCGCAACTTCACTTATCAAGTGGGGACGATCCTCGCGTAGTATCATATTTTGTCATCATTTTTTTTTTTAAATTTACTAAAAGCTGTATATAATTAATGATTTAAAATAAGTTGGTACAAATCAACAAGTATAAACGAATAATATAATGTTTAATTTCAGAAGTTACCACTAAAAATGTGTATTGCTGCTTTTAAAAACTACTCCCTACTACTCCGTACTTTGTACTTGGTTACATTTGCTATAATGTTCTTTTTTACGAATTACTCCGTACTATTTGGATCATCGAACAGATTTTAATTTATCTATGCGTCACTGAAAAGGTAATGTATACTTGCTGCTTGACATTTAGTTATTTTAATTATACGAGTATTATTTGAGTAGATTACTTAACTTTGTAGTACAATAATACTACGTACTGTGTAGAATGCAATGTGAGTATGTGACTAACAAAACGTTAATAAACAAAGTGTGGTATGTCACGTGGTACTTGGAAGGATAAGTGCATCAATGCATGAAGGTTTAGTGGAATGATGACTATTTTAAATGTAAAGTTTGATAGAATTTGAAAGGATTTAAAAGTTCATAAATCTATAATTTTAACTTTATAAAGTATGGAGTAACTTAACAGCGTAAAAGAATCTATGAATGAATAGGATTTATAAAGCTTTGATTTTATAAGCATTAAAATTATGTATTCCGTAGCATTTATTTATGGGAAAAGGGGCAAATAAGCCCTCGAACTAATAAAAAAAGTGCATATAAGCTCTTTTGTAGGAGGTTTTGTCCGATCATCGTCATTTGGAGAGGTTCTCGGTGGAATTTTTTGATGAATTTTTTTGAGCATCTTCTTCATTAAGTCTAGTTTAGCCATACCAAATTTCAGCTAAAAATTCAACCGGGAAGGCACTCAAATGATTTTCGGAACTACACTGTGTTGTTTAACTGCGCAGTTATCTTAAAAAATTCATTTGACTGCCTTCCCGGTTAAATTTTTAGCTGGAATTTTGTATGGGTAAACTAGACATAATGAATAAGATGCTCAAAACATTTCATCAAAAAATTTCACCGGGAACCTCCCCAAATGACGATAGACAGACGAAACCTCCTACAAAAGGGCTTATTTGCACTTTTTTGATTAGTTCGAGGGCTTATTTGCCCCTTTTCCCTTTATTTATTTATATATGGAAAAACGCCAAAACTTACTTTGTTTAATTTACTCTGGAATTGAGGATGTTTTCTTTTGGATTGTTTTCAGTCTCAGACCCAATTAGACTAAACCAGACTTAAACAGACCTGAACTGTTATAAAATACACAGAGACCAGACGTTTACCAGACCAGTTCAGACTAGACCAGATTAGACTTAAACAGACTAGACCAAATCAGACCAATTCAGACCAGACCAGACCAGATTTTAATAAACTAGACCAATCTGATCAGATCAGACCAGACCACCAAAATTTACAAAGATCCTTATAAGCACACTACTTTTGTGCTCATGTTTTATTTACAAAGATCGATCGGTGATGTAATTTGTAATTTGATCTGCATTATAGAATTTGTAGCATTAGATTAGGGAAAACAAGAGAAAAGTTCTGCATTATAAAATTTGTAGAATTATATTAGGAAAAATAAGAGAAAAGTTCATAAAATTGTGACACTCAAAAGTTTGAAACTCACAAGTTTGAAACTCATTTCACTCCAAGAAAGTTGACATTTAAGAGAAACTATATACAACAAAAAGAGAAAAGTCCATAAATATGACTAAAATATAAATAAGATGCAAGTTCAAGTATAATGTTTATTGCATTATGAAAACTAAATTCAAGTATAATAAATACTCGATATCCCTACTCATGAAATTGGTCTACCGAGTTTAATTCACACAAGAACCGTATATCCGTATATGTAGCAAAAAATATAGCAAGGGTGTCGTTAGGTAGTTATTCCGTAATCCGTAAATGTAGCAAAAAAGAAGAAAAATATAGAAATAGTGGGAAAAATATAAAAGCAGTGATACTCATACAACGTATCGAGACAACCAAAATAAAGAAGGTACTCCCTCTGTCCCATAATTATCTTCATTCTTTCCTTTTTGGTCCGTCCCAAATTTATCTCCTCTTTCCCTTTTTAGCAAAGGATTTGTGGTTCACAACCATTCTCACACATTTCTTTCTCCTCTACACAACTATCCACCACACATTTCCCACTTTCTTAATCTCCGTGCCCAATCAAAACCGAAGTTAATTCTGGGACGGAGGGAGTAATAAATATTGCTTTCTCTTCCAATTTATGGCTTTTCTTTTTGTTTAGAACGGAGTATTTATAATAATCTTTTTATTTAAATGAAAGAACATTATTATAAAATGAAACAAGTTGCGTGTAAGAAGAATACTGTAGAAGATAAACCTTAGTTTGGGCAAGATTGAGTAATAATAATCGAATATAGAATAGATTTATTACTAGCATGAGGCAAGATCGGGTAAGTTTAAGGACAGATAAAATAAAATAAAATAAAGAGAGTGGGGACGAATAAAGTGGGTGTTGGTGGTTCATGTCCCAAATTAGAGTACGTAACAGATAGGTATCATATCATTGAAATCTGCAGGACTCAGTTTTTCAACTTTCTTGTACAGTGTAAACGACTATTCGTTCTATGCTAATACGTCCCATCCTCTTTTCTATTTCCATTTTCGAGATAAATTTGGGCCTTTGACCCAAAACAACATTCCCATTCTCATTTGGGGATTCAATTATGGTAGTACAAATTTTCATCTACTCCAGTCTGTTTCAATTTATTTTGCGTTTGGTTGAAATAAATAAATGAATTAACTCATGATCCAATCTTTGAGCACATGTATAGAGCACATTATATTTAGAGAAATGAAGTGAGACTTGACTGAGTTGATGGTGTAGTTAGAAATAGTTATCGAGAGGTCACATGTTCAATTTATCGTCTTAACCGGGGGCATAGCACACCCGATAAGAAAAGAGTGTCACACGGGAGAGATCAAAGCTCAATTTATATTGTTCAGTAGTTCTAGGTGATTTCAGGAATATGTCATCCCCTTTTTTTTCAATTCATTGTGTTAACGCGTTCTTAGTTTAACCTGGTTTATTATTCATCGGGTTAACGACCTCTTTGTCGAGCCACGTTTATTCCGTTGAATGTTCCTAATGCAAAGAAACTTAAACTTATTAGCAATTTCACACATTTGAAGTATAATGGGAATGTAATATCGCGAAGTTACAATTTATTTGTTAAAAAAATTATCAAATTGGGATTAAGTGATAATTTATTTGTGTAAAAGTTAGCAAGTAGGGATAATTTATTTGTGTAAACCGTATAAAGTATGGCTTATTACTTTATTAGTGTAAACTATATTTGAATTTTGAATCAAAAAAATAATTCGCTTATTGTGATATACTGATATAAACCCTTAATTGCTCAGTCCATATACAAAGCCAAAGGCAAACAAACAGATGTGGAGATGTTATTATTACATTAGTTTATACGTACTCCCTCCGTCCCAAAATTATCTTCATTCTTTCCTTTTCGGTCCGTCCCAAATTTATCTCCTCTTTCCTTTTTGGCAAAGAATTTGTGGTTCATAATCATTCTTACACATTTCTCTCTCCTCTGCACAACTCTCCACCACACATTTCCCACTATCTTAATATGTGTGCCAATTCAAAAGAGGAGTTATTTATGGGACGGAGGTAGTAGTATTGTAGATTGTGATTCATTTGACATTCTACGAACCGAAGTACAATCAAACTTATTGACAAGAAAGTGCAAGATTGAATTTGATTGAAACAGTTGGATGTGATGAAATTATTGTTCCATCCATCAAATAATTGAACTTGCTCAATTATCAATTAATAATTACACATCCTTTTTATTAAAATAATTAGATTAAATTGGGAAATAAAGTTATAAAGGCGAATATATCATTTTTGGTTTATTCAAACAGATTAAAAAAAGGAAAAAGAAATACGTACATTTCTAATTAATTGATTCATCATCAACGACGTTTATTAATGTAGATTGTTGACACATAAAGCTGGTGTACATAAATAGTGTTTTCAGATGGGTTTTGTATTAGTCTGCTGATTCCTGTCAATTCTTGTCCATATCAATCCCTTTTCCAATGTAGCCTGTACTCACTGTCAGTTTCTAATTATTTCCACTTCGTAGAATTTTTATTTTCCAGCTTTTTCTACTCGCAATTTATAAACGAACTCGATTTAAGAAAATAAATACCTAGTACCTCAATCCCCTAAGTTTGGGACAAACGGATGTGGTGTGGTTTTTGAGAAAAGTAGAATTGCGTGGTTGATATTGAATTGATAAAGTTTGAATAAAGTAAAAATGAATTATAACCACTCAAATATTACCAAATATGGTATGAGACAAACTTAATGGGATAGACGAAAAAGGTAAAACGTCGTTAGACAAAAGAGAAATAATATTTCCGAATTAAACTTTCACTTTATTTTTTTGAGGGGGATTAAACTTTCACTTTTCATTTGGATAAGGAATTTGTGGTTAACAACGCTTCTTTCACATTTTTCTCTCATCTGCCAATTCTCCATCTCACAATACACATTATCTTAATCTCTGTTCCATTTATAATATGAAAGTTGTTTTTTTAGGGACGGAGGGATTAAATAAAATACAATTGTTTCTTGTTTTGGTTTGCACAATTATTAAAGAGTAATTTCAAGTTAAAAATAGTGGTTAGTTTTTTAGTACTACCTATAATAAAATGAATTGGGTCATTTTGTCTTAGTTTTGATTTGAAAAATTATTAAAGAGTAATTTCAAATTAAAATTTGTGGTTAGTGTTTGAGTGTATAGAATGAAATATTGTGGTTGTGGTTTACTGGTTTGTGGTTAGTAATTTCAAATTACAGTATTAAATTGCCCTAACACATCTTGCCTATTAAGGAAATGTTACACTTTTTGATAAGTAATGTGGCGCACTTTTTGAGCCAACTAGAAAAGAAAAGATAACAACGGGGTCCCGAGAGAAAATAGTATATTTTGGATTAAAATATTAAATAAAATTAATGTTCACCAAACATTATGGAGAAGTCATTTTTTTTATACTTCGTATTTATTTAGTTAGATGCAGTGGGGGCTGTATTCATCCTTGACGAAATGTGATAGGTGATTGTACGGCTATTGTGAATTGTGATACTAAGAGGGCCACGTTACATTGGGATAGACACCAACACACTCCAAAGTCCAAGCGTCCTTTATTTTTTGGATGGGGAGTGGAAAATTTGTGAGTTAGGTATATTCACATTAAGTAAGGAACAATTTTTTTTTTCAATTCTTGGTATAAATCTATGATTAGTAACGTTGTATATGTATATAGTTCCATTCATTTGAATGAACAAGTAATAGTCGAATGAACAAAGAAATAAGAGAACGAAGTTGTAAAAAGTTACTTCCTCCGTTATCTAAGATTGAGACATGAGACTGATGAGGGTTACACAGTTTTTAAAAAAAATGAATTGTTTAATTCATATTAAACCAATCAAATGTGAATAAAGTAGGAAGAGTTACACAATTATTAAAAAAATGAATTGTTTATTCATATTAAACCAATCAAATGTGAATAAAGTAGGAATAGTCATGCGTACTCGGATAACGGTAGGAACATTGTAGTATTTGTTATTTCAAACATCTTTAGGTCGAATAGTTATTATAAGACATTCAAAACCAATTAGCATACACTACGAATTACATACTTAGGATAAATGCGGAATTTGAATTGAAAATGAATATGTTGAGTTGAAATTGAGATGTAAAACTTGCAAAAGAGTTTAAAATACTAAAAAAAACTGATGAATGACCGAGCCTGCTTGTGAACTTTTTCCCCATAATTGTGTGCATGGCAAAGACTCAAACAGTGGATCTAACATCTAAATTTTGGGTGTTCAAAGTTATTTTACAATTAAAATTATGAGCAATAATATTATTTGATGGTACAATTCTACACATACATCTTTTCAAAAGCAAAAAAAACTACGAAATAACGTACAAATTAAGAAGTATTATACAAGTCAAGTACAATAGATTATTAAATCAATTTTATATATGTAATTTTACACTTCTAATCCAAACTTTTGGGTGTTCACATGCATAGTTTTGAACACATTGAGCTCCGCCACTGGACTCAAAAGGTGAAAATTTTCATTTCTCACAATAACACTTCATTCCTATGACTTGTATATAGATGGAGATGAGAAGTGGGAGGGGGTTGGGTCATCGGAGGAGGACCAAGACAACAGCGGAGGGGAGACGGAGCTCCGAGAACTCGACCCGCGCGCACAAGACCGGGAACTGAAGAACCACTTGCTGAGGAAATACAGTGGCTATTTAAGCAGCCTGAAGCAAGAACTATCAAAGAAGAAGAAGAAAGGGAAGCTGCCCAAAGAGGCAAGGCAGAAGTTGCTTAGTTGGTGGGAACTCCACTATAAATGGCCGTACCCCTCGGAGACGGAGAAGGTGGCGCTGGCCGAGGCAACGGGCCTGGACCAGAAGCAGATAAACAACTGGTTTATCAACCAAAGGAAAAGACATTGGAAGCCATCTGAGGACATGCAGTTCATGGTGATGGCGGACGGCCTCCATCCACAGACAGCCGCTGCTGCTGCTCTTTACATGGACGGGCACTACATGCATCATCATCATGTCAGCGCCGACGCTCCATATCGCTAGTTTAATTTCATGCATTCCCATGGGTTTTCTTGTTGTCTTTCGTAATTTATTGATTAATTTAAGATAATCGTTGTTAGTGCAGTCACTTTTTCTTAATTCCTTTCTTTTGGCAGCTCAATCACCTTGTTGACATTAATTGTATTAATTGTTTTTTCCAGAAATACCATTTCAACCTTTGTTTTCAAATTACTTCATATGTGTAATCTTTGTTGGGGTTAGGGTTTTACTTTCTTTAATACCCAGTAATTCATATTGGGGTTAGGGTTTTACTCTTAATTAGATGAAGGCTGCTTAAATAGCCACTGTATTTCCTCAGCAAATGGTTCTTCAGTTCTCGGTCTTGTGCCCGCGGGTCGATCTCCCGGAGCTCCGTGTCTCCTACGCGCAAATATTACTATTCTAAATTAGGCCTGGACTCGGGCCCGGGACAGGCCTAGGTCCGGCCGGGCCGGCGGTTCTGGAATGGGGGGCTCGGAACCGACCCGGGTAATTCCCGGTTCCGGGTCGGGCCTCGGGCCATTGTTAATTTTTTTTCCTTTCCCTAGTTAACCCCCACCCCCCTTCACCCCAAACCACCCCCAAATGGCCCAAAATACCCAGTCCAACTCGAAAAGTAAAAAAAATTGAAAAAAAAAAAATTTAAAAAGGCCCGGAACCGGGCTCGAACCGGCTAGGCCGGTTCATGATTTGGGGGGCCCGAGCCCGGACCGGAACCTGCGCGGGTCGGGCCTACCCGGACCGGTCACTGATCGGGCCGGGCTAGAACAGTGCTGGTTCGGGCCGGTTTCGGGTTGGGCCACCCGGCCCGAGTTCAGGCCTACTCTAAATGGATAGCTCTTCATCTAATTAAGAGTTATTACCATAAGATTACCTAGAGCCGTCGAGGGTCTCTCTCGATAACATATATCCTAAACAAGTACATATGCTCAATTTATCGTTGCACATTATCCTTAAAGCTTTCATTCAGGCACAACCAACGTACCATGCAAGACTTGTCAATTTATCGTTGCACATTATCCTCAAAGCTTTCATTCAGGCACAACCTGTAAACTGAACTGAATTGGAAACTGAATTTTCTTGTATATTAATCAAAGGAAGGGTTACACTTATATAGGAAATCCTAACATCTAACTAGTACATGTAGTACAACTAATACATATAGTACAACTAGTACATGTAGTACAACTAACCTAACATCTAACTAGTACAACTAGTACAACATGTACTACAATAGGAATAGTGCAAAAAGTACAGCATGTACTACAATAGGAATAGTGCAAGAGATAATATTCTTCACACCCCCCTTCAAACTCAAGATGGGACAACATAGACCATCGAGAGTTTGCCAAGGAGGAAGCGAAAGCGGGCTGCAGTGTGAGTCTTGGTGAAGAAATCAGCCAACTGTAGTGTGGAGCAAACAAAGGGCAAGGAAATCGTAGCCGACTGAAGGTGTTGACGAATAAAATGGCAATCGATTTCAATGTGCTTTGTACGTTCATGGAAAACAGAGTTATGAGCAATCTGAATAGCGCTCTTATTGTCACAATACAGAGGCGTAGGAGAAGTGATAGAGACACCCATATCCGAGAGAAGGCAACGAAGCCAAACGACTTCTGAGGTAGCGTGTGCCATGGCACGGTATTCAGCTTCGGCGGTAGATCGAGCAACAACAGATTGTTTCTTACTTTTCCAAGAGATAAGAGAATCACCCAGAAAAACACAAAGGCCAGAGGTGGATTTGCGGTCACTAATATCACCAGCCCAATCAGCATCAGCATAAGCTTGGAGTGTCAAACTGGAGGTGGAAGATAATAGAATGCACTGGTGAATAGTACCACGAATATAACGGAGAATACGTAAGAGAGCAGCCCAATGCGTAGAGCGAGGAGCAGAGACATATTGGCTGATAATATGAACAACATGAGAGATATCCGGTCGAGTCACAGTAAGATAAACCAAGCATCCTACTAACTCACGGTATTCAGTAGGATCTTCAAGAGGAACACCATTAGAGGCAGAGAACTTGGCATGAAGCTCAAGAGGAGTGTCAACAAGCTTGTGATCCGTGAGACGAGCGCGATGAAGAATGTCAGTGGCATATTTAGACTGTCCCAGAAGAAAACCCTTAGGAGAAGAAGCAACTAAAATACCAAGAAAATACCGAAGAGGGCCCAAGTCTTTCATCTCAAATGCACGAAACAAATGGCTTTTCACGTCAGCGATAGAAGCAGAGTCGGAACCAGTGATAATCATGTCATCCACATATAATAAGAGAAGAACTAGACCATGAGAGGTGTGCCGAATAAAGAGAGCTGAGTCGTGCATACTTGGTTTGAAACCAATGTCAAGAACCACATCCTGAAAGCGAGCATACCAAGCTCGAGGGGACTGTTTCAAACCATAAAGAGCACGACGTAAGTGGCAAACATAACCAGATGAATGAGAGACACCCGGGGAAGGTCGCATATAAACTTCCTCATTAAGAAAGCCATTAAGGAATGCATTCTTGACATCAAGTTGATAAAGAGGCCACTGATGCACAGCAGCAACAGAGATCAATGTGCGAACAGTGGTCATTTTCGCAACAGGAGCAAAGGTTTCTTCATAATCAATACCATATTCCTGAGAAAAGCCTTTAGCAACTAACCGGGCCTTGTACCGTTCTAAGGATCCATCAGAATGAGTTTTGACCTTGTAAACCCATTTGCAGCCAATAAGATTCTTACTTGCCGGGAGTGGAACCAATTCCCAAGTATTATTCTGAGCAAGAGCAGTAAGTTCGGCATTCATGGCTTCAACCCAGTTGGGATCATGACAAGCTTCTTTATAAGATTTGGGCTCAAAATAAGTGTGAATTCGAGAAAGAAAAGACTGATAAGAGGATGAGAAACAAGTATGAGAGAAACCAAATTTTACCGGTGGATGACGATTCTCACGGATAGGATACCGACGTGCAGGTGGATCAGGATCGTCCAAAGCAGATGGGGCAACCGGAGAGTCAGATGGCGGAGGTGAACGTGCAGCACGACGGGAGTAGACCTGGGGGAACGGGAGGATAGGAGTCAGTGGCGGGGATGAGGGAGCAATATGTATAGCTGATACCTCTAGTGTGGAGGTATATTCCTCAGACGGCACATCCGTTGGGAAAGGGTCAAGGTGAACTAGATCCTCTTTGGTCACAGGAGCAACATGCGGAGGGAGAGTGTAATATGGCAGACGCTCTAAGAATGTGACATGTCGGGATGTATAGAGCTTTTTGGTGACTGGATCGTAACAACGATAGCCTTTTTGTTGAATACCATATCCCAAGAAGACACAGATGGCACAACGAGCACTTAACTTGGTACGATCCTTTTTGGGAAGAAGTACAAAACATGTAGAACCAAAAACACGAAGGAGAGAGTAGTTAGGAACCTGACCATGAAGTCGTTCATATGGTGAGCTGCCAGAGAGAAGGGGGGTAGGCATTCGATTCAAGAGATAAGCTGCAGTGAGAACAGCTTCGCCCCAGAAAACAGATGGGACAGAAGATGACAGTAACAAAGATCGAGCAGTGTCAAGAAGGTGACGATGCTTCCTTTCGGCTCGACCATTCTGGGGAGGAGTGTCAGTGCAAGAGGATTGATGGAGAGTCCCAAGTTTGTCTAAGAAGAGAGTAAATTCATTAAGAGAATATTCCCCACCCAAGTCAGAACGAAGAATTTTGATAGATGCAGAAAATTGGGTTTGGATCATGGCATGAAAATTTTGAAAGATATGGAAAAAATCAGACTTGCGGGTCATCAAATAAACCCATGTATAACGAGTGTAATCATCAACAAACGAGACATAATAAACTGAACCACCCTTTGTAGTTACTGGGGATGGACCCCACAAATCTGTATGGACAAGAGCAAACGGAGATGAAGAAACGAAAGTGCTTTTACTAAAAGGTAATGCAGACATCTTGGCAAGTTTACAACCACTACATTCTGAAATGTCACCAACAGAAAGGTTACCTAAATGACCTGATTGAGCTAAAAGCTTAAGACGCTCACTAGACAAATGTCCTAATCGAGAATGCCAAAGATAAAAAGGGGAAGATGTGTGGTCTAAATGGAAAGACGAAGCAGCAATAGGGGAAGACTTCAGTGGGAGGTGCAAGGATTCCAGGATATAGAGGTCACTAACTCTACGGCCGGTCCCAATCTGCTTCTTGGATTCCCGATCCTGCACAACACAACCAGAGGAAGAGAATATAACATCAAAACCAGAATCAGATAGTTGGCTGATGGACAAAAGACTAAGTGTTAACTGAGGGACATAAAAGACTTCAGGAACAGATAATGAACTAGAGCAAATGGAACCAATGGAGACAACATGCATGGGTGATCCATTTGCTGAGGCAATACTAATAGGGGAGAGAGGGGAGACACAATTGCGAAGAAGCGAGGAATCAGGGGTCATATGATGAGAACAACCAGAATCCAATATCCAAGTGGTTGGTAATATACCTGTGACATTGGAGCCATGCAAACCTGAGTGAATAGAGGACATGGCAGAAGCTTGGGAAGATCCTCCCTGAATAGCTTCCATGAAAGCCTTATACTGCTGAAATTGCTCTAGCATATGAGAAGGTATGGCTTCAGAGGTGGGTGCTGCCACGGCTGCAGAAGGGCGATAGTGCGGTTGAGATGCCCTGGGAACAGAGGAGCCACCAGTATGAGAATTATGTCGACCCTGAGTTTGCTGAACACGCTTAGGGCATGCGTGTTTCCAATGACCTTTCTGATGACAATAACCGCACTCATCAACAGGAATGCGAGGTCGGCCTGAAACCTGAGTCTGATGGGATGCTGGAATGGGCAAGAGGGGTGCCAAGTGTTGTACTGGCGGACAAGATCGAGTGACAAAAACAGATTGTGACGAAGGAGATAGATTCGCCACTTTGAACCGTGTCTCCTCAGCTATGAGCTCATGAACAGCCCCATCAACTGAGGGCAACGGAGATCGATGCAGAATAGCCCCACGTAGAGGCTCAAACTGAGACCGAAGAGCCATGAGAAACTGAACAAGACGCTTTTTCTCACGATACTTCACATAACTATCAAGTAGTTGCAGATCAGATGGTTCCATAAGAGCTAACTGATCCCAAAAACCAGTCATATCATTATAGAACTCTTGAATAGATTTATCACCTTGACTAGCATTACGGATTGATAACTCAAGTTCATACTCTTTTGCGAAATTGGACTCAAAATACATATTTTTCAAATACTCCCAAACATCCTTAGTAGTTTCATACTTTGAGAAATTCATACCAATACTTGATTCTGAAGAATTGTGAAACCAAGTCAAGAATTTTCCGTTTTCTCGCTCCCATTTCGCAAAATCAGTGGCATAAGTCTTTGACTCTTTGTCAGATGGTGTTACAATTGAGCCAGTAACATGTCCCCATAAGCCTTGACCAGTTATAAAAATTTTCATGACCCTTGACCAATAAGAATAATTGGCCCCATTCAAGCGGACACTAATACTTGAAATTTTATCTTCCGACATGATATGAAAAAGTACTCACAGATAGAAGCAAAGGTTCAGGAACAAAGTTACCGGCACAACGAGGTGTTGAGGGAGCATATTGAAACAAAATGTTTGCTGAAACTGATGAACAGTACTGAATAGTGACTGACGATCAGTAACCGAGTGCTGGAAGTGGCTGACGGTGCTCCGGCGAGGGGCGTCGGAGGTCGGAGGAAGGCTGGGATTGACAAGCTAGTGCTGACAGGTGATCGGCAGAATAAGGGAGAATCAGAATGCAGAAATGAGTTTTCAGATTTTGACAGAGAGAGCTGACTGAAGAGAGAACTGAAGTTGGTTCCCAGCACACATAAGATTTCGGATGCTGATTCTGAACAAAGGCTAGAGAGGTGACTGAAGATAAACAGAGAATATCAGCTCTGATACCATGTAAACTGAACTGAATTGGAAACTGAATTTTCTTGTATATTAATCAAAGGAAGGGTTACACTTATATAGGAAATCCTAACATCTAACTAGTACATGTAGTACAACTAGTACATATAGTACAACTA